CCACAGGTGCAGGGGGTGGGGGTGGGGGCTTGTGCACCTGACCAGGAGTTAGCCCTTCCCAACCTGTATGAAAGGGCACTAGCCCAAAGGCCTGGCCTCTCTGTTGACATCTGGAAAGGAGGCCCCTTCATGTGGAAGGGTAAGTCCACCCGTGTGTATTAGGAGTCCTGTCCTAGTCTCTTAGTGCTGCTCTAACAGAAATACTAGTGGGCGGGTTTAATGAGCAGCAATCTATTCTTCCATAGCTTAAGGGGCTAGAAGTCTGAATTCAGGCCTCCGGCTTTAGGGGAAAGCTTTCTCTGTCATCTCCTGGGGAAATCTTTGTCTCAGCTTCTCTAGTGTTCTTCCTGGTGTTCTTTGGAGATTTCTAAGGGTCAACTATCTTTCCTCCACTCCTGCTTTCTCTTGTGCCTAATTGGCCTTTTTATATCTCAAAAGTGATTGGTTTAAGACATATTCTTCATTGATATGGCCTCGTTAACATAACAAAGAAAAACCTATTCTCAAATGAAATTACATCCACAGATATAGGGATTGGGATTCCAACACACACTTTGGGGGAAAACATTTTAGTCCATACCAAGTTCCTCCACATCTGGAAAGGATTTAGTCCAAAAACTGGAGAGAGCTCTATCTGCATCTGGAAGAGGATGTCCCTCATGTGGAAGCATGTTGGTGCCCACATTGGTCAGATGGCCTTGCTAAGACTGAGGAGCAAGGGCGCAGACATCTGGCAGGAAGTGCCCTCAGTACATATCTGGAAGACAATCCTGCTTGAGCAGGACAAGCTTCCCAAGCCCAGCACTACTAACATGTAAGGTGGGATACCTCTTTGTTGGGACCTATCCTAGGCAGAAGCTAACTTCGTCTCTCATACTTTGGTCATGTTATTAGGAAGGACCAGTCCCTGGAGAATGATATCATGCTTGATAAACTGGAGGGTCAGCAAAAATGGGGAAGATCTTCAAGGAGATAGACTGATACAGTGGCTGCAAAGATGGACTCAAGTACAGCAAAGATTGTGAGGATAGAAAGGCTCAGGCAGTGTTTTGTTCTATTGTACACAGGGTTGCTATGAGTCAGAGCTGACTCTATGCCACCTAACAACAGCATGGATTTTGATACAATTATGTGGGATGTATATGTCCCAAATGGACTCTAGTAGTGGGATTAGTGAAGTGAGATCTGTTCCTTCAGATTCACACAGTTATATAGGTCCTGTCAGGTGGCAGCATGTACTAAAACTGGGATAGCAGTTTCCCAAGAAATCTGAGAGGCTGAAGATGTTGGTGAGTACATGTCGCATGGGTTATGAAAGAATTAAATTGCAGAATGATCTCTCA